CTTCGAGACGGAGTGAAGATTGTTCCTAATGTTTTTTATAATTGGTGCTTATTGTGTGCATTATCGACAAGTAAGTAATCTATAAATGTTAATGCTAGACTTATTATAATGATTTAGCTGGGAAATGCTTTCCTTATATTTTTAATGCTATGAGATTGACTAATTTTGTATTTTCAACATTCATTTGTAGGAAACCACACACACCTGCACACCAATTATAAATGCCCAAACATTTGTAAGTTTCACATTCATTAATCGGATTTGTTTCTTGGAAAACTGGACAGTTGCAGCTCTTTTAACTGAAAGAGCATGGCTAGAAAGTGGGAGCTAGTGTAATGCACACAATATCAATTGCAAATACTTTATGAAAAGTTGAGTTATATTCAGTTACAGATCTCAAATTAGGCATGACAAAAGGAGTCTATTAAAAGAATTAAGTCTTCTAAAGGAGGTCAAGTCTTCTCATTTATGGCTCCTAAACTCTGGAATAGCCTTCCTGATAATGTCCACATAATGGTATGATACTTGAGTGTGCTCCATGCAGGTGAGTGGGCTTGATAAACCACCTGTAGGACACACTCCTCCTGTCTTAATGCACCTGACAATTTGTTAGAAGCACATGCTTTACATGTTTGTTTCTATGTTTGTTTATATAACTTCTGTTTTCATTTATAGACATTTTTGCATTGTATGTTTAAACACACTATGAACAGCAGCTACGCTAATTATTTTATTTAATCTCCATTTCCACCTGGAGATACTCATACAGACGCCCCTAGAGATTAATCACCACTGATGCGATCCAAGACCTGTGAAGATATGATGCCAAGGGATACATAATTCTGGACCAGGCCATATCCTTAGCTAATGCTGCGGAGGTCATTGAGGAGTGGAAACACCCTCCCAACTCTGAAGTATGGGGGCGGCAGCATCAAGTTGTGGGGCTGAGGGACTGGTCCACTTCACAGCACAGATGGCATCATGAAGAAAGAACATTATGTAGAAATACTGAAGCAACATCTCAAGACATCAGCCAGGAAATTAAAACTTGGCCACAAATGGGTCTTCCAAACAGACCATGACCCTAAGCATACTGCCAAATTAGTGAAAATGTGCTTTAAGGACAACAGAGTGAATGTTTTGGAGTGGCCATCCCAAATCCTATAGAAAATTTGTGGGCACAGTTGAAAAAGCTTGTGCGAGCAAGACAGCCTTCAAATCTGACTCGTTTACACCAATTCTGTCATGAGGAATGGGCCAAAATTTCTTTAAACTATTTTGAGAAGCTTGTGGAAGGATACCCAAAACATTTGACCAAAGTTATACAGTTTAAAAGCAAAGCAAAAAAATACAAAGGAAATGTATGTAAACTTTTGACTGACTAGAAATTGATAAAAAAAATTAAAAAAAAAAATTCTAATTTTTTAGGCATTTAGCAAATGTAAATCATTAAGGTAATCCTAACGGACCTAAAATAGTAAACATTTAGTATGATTTACCATCAGACACTTTTTTGTTTTTTAAAAATGGTTATGTGACTTTTTTACGGAGTATGTAAACTTCTGGTTTCAACTGTATTTTTAAAAAGTAGATTACTTTAATAACAAGTAGCCTACTTTCTTTAAAAAAGAAATCTGATTATGCAATGTAGATGACAATCTTTACTACCCAACTCTAATGTAAGTAAGGCACCATATGGTGCAGGAAAAAGGTGGCTAATATTATTACCCTTGTTGGTTTAATATGCTACGATTTAATGTACAAGAGTTTTTCAAATGCTGTTTTCCATCAATAAAACATCAAAAACACTTTAAGAGGTCATCGTGAAACCGAAAGCAGACCTAATAATGAATGAAGAAATCGCACTTACCACATGTTGGTAGTAGAAACAGAATTCCTAAAACGATCTTCATATTGTTGCTGTTTCCAGCTAAATCTAAAAACAAAATCTGGAGATTTGTGAAGAGATGTTTACTAAATGAATCAAATTGATGACAGAATAAGTTTGTTTAAAATATTGAGTCTGTTCTTCTTCTTTAATGTTGGCAAAATCTGAGTCTAAAGCGCAGTTTGTTTGGACGAATCGTTTTCGTGAACCGGTTCTTTAAAGTGTACAGTTCACCAAACACGGGCTGAATCGTTCAAAACAATCGGTCGCGTCAGTCAATACTCACAGTTTGCTCAATTTGAGACATACCTGACAGTCCCTTGGACTCAGAAAAAAACTACTTTCTCAGAGAATATGCTAGTCTAACTTAAAGTAAGACACACAATGCTGAAAGAATTGATGAACTGATTAATTTCTTTCAGACTGAGATACGAAGCATGCGCCGAACAAACATGCAACAGCTACAAGGGGGCGAATTTGGGGGACGGAGACCCGGGGGGATTTCCGGAGCCAGTCCTGTCACTGCCGTTTGCATTTATCCAGCGATCACTTCTGTTTCTGTATAGAGAGAATACAGAGTAGAATCCCGGTTAAGAAAAAAGGGGCA